CACTCTCATTCTTCAAATGTTGAGTTTGGCTTCAGTCTCCAATTTTCAACAATTGTTTACTTTCAACACTAAGAGAAAACTGGTTCCACCATCTTGTTTCCTTGTTTTACTTCTCCTTCTTTCATCTTTCCATGATGCTAGACACCAAGCTGCCTTTCTCCATTCTAACAGCCCCTGAACATCTTTCTCTTTGAACTAATGTTCATCACTACAAACAAGCCTTCCACTGCCGCTGCGACTTTAACCTTCCTCGACTGCCACCATCGCCCAAAATAGCCACATTGCATTGATTGTGATTTTTATTGATTGTGTTGGGTTTTGAGCTTTTTGATTGCTGATTTTGGTGGGACTGGTTATGATTTTTGCTGATGAATTGGTGAGATGATATGCGGTAATCCTGGGATCGGCCGTTGGTTTTTGGAAATTAGGCCTGTGTTTTTGTTTGTGACTGGCTTCTGTGATATGGGCTGCTTACTAGTAATGGTTCGGAGATAGTGTTCTAGCAGAGATGGCAGTGGGATGAGGGTGTTTTCTAGTGATTTCTCTCTCTGATTTCTGTGAGCTGAAATTTATTTATAAGACAAGCAAGGGAAGTTTAGATCACTTCAAACTCAGTTTGTAACCGAGATCATTCTTAATTTATCAACAAAGCCAATCTTTTGATTTTTTTTTAAATTTTAAATTATTTATTTTTTAAAATATCAGATAAATTAAAAGATAATTAAAAGATAAGGATAACAAAATTTTTTTTTTTTTAACAGATAAAAATTAAAAATTAAAATAAATTAGATAAAAAACACATATATATATATATATATATATATATACAGACAAATAACAAAAATAAACATAATAAAAAAATCATTGGGCTTTGGATAAATCCAAGCCCAATGATATTGGACCTTGAAATTAAACCGGACACTTAAACTCCGAATTAAATGAAATATCTACAGTGATCTTGCCTTATTACATACCCAGGATTGTGATGTTAGTCTTTTTAGCCAGAATTTTTTTCAGGCTTTTCTTGACATATTCTTCAAACCTCCTAATATCATGCATTCTAGTATTGTCTGCTATAGATGCAAGAATCGAGCTCTGATAGTAAAATGATGCGGGGAAAATTACCAGCAACTAAGAACAATGAATCAAGATTAAAAATAGACATCTTGGGTAAAAGAAAGAAGAAGCGACGAGCACTGTGATCCAAATTGTAGAACAGTGAAATAGAGAGAAGAGAGAATTTGAGAGAAAGTTGTAATTTTTCATTGATATCTTTGAAATCTGATTGTACAATGTATTTATACAAGATTGGAATGTAATCAATCCTTTACAACTTGTTACGAATGATTAACAGCTTTAACTGACTTCTAACTGCTATCCCACCTCTGTCACAATTATCTTAATGTAGTAATTAATCCACATTTAGGTCAATTAACGTAAAATTATGAGTAAAGATTTATTTGGATGAGTGGTGAGATTGGTTTCGATGAGATTAAAAATAGTGATGAAAGTGATATTAATTACTGTAACAGTGAGATTAAATACTGTAACGGTGAAATTAAAATTAGTGATGAGATATGTATTTAAATGTAAAAGCAATGATAATGATGAATGAATTATAGTAAAAAAAAAAAAATCATTAAAGACATTAAATTAAAACTTGTATATAATAAATTTATAATATATATTTGATATTTTTATATTAATAAATTATTAAAAATATAAAACTATTTTTATATTAAATAATAATTTTATTCATAAAAAATGAAAAGTAATTAAGATTAATACTATAGATATTTTTTTAATTATTAATTAGTTTATTATATAATTATAAAATCTTATTTATTTATATTAAATTAATAAAAATTTTTAAATGAAAAAAAAAAGAAATGAAAAAAGAAGTTAAGTGATAGGGATGTTTTTGACTATATATTATAATTTCAAAGGTAAAAAAGAAAAAAAAATGAAAGAGTTTGGTTATTTTTGGAAAGAACTATTGCAGTGGGATCAAAAATTTATCGCTGGACTCTTTCAGGTCCAGTCTAGCTTTTGCTTCCAGTGCGTTGAGAACCCCTCAACTGCACTGAAGTTCTGTCATCCAAATGACAAATCCCAGCGCGTTTGAGCAGAAAAACATGCTAACCTCACCGCACTGGCACCTCGGTGGAATCCAAATGCACCGTAACTATATTCGTATAATATTGTAACATATTCGAACATGTAATATGTTTTTAGTTAAATGTAATCCCAATATTAATTTATGTGTTTAGAACTATGATGGGTCAATATGCATTGATGAAGGGTCCCTGCTCCCTGTTTATATAAGCAAACCTTTAGCCCATTAAAAAAAAAAAAAAGCATTCTATCACTTACAGAAAAGGTAGCAGTTTCCTTCATTTTACTAATTGAAACCACAGTAGCCTCCACCTTCTTCCTTGACTTTTCAGGTCCATGGCAGATCCCACCGACCAGCCACCAGTCCCGGAGGATCCGGCTACCTTGTCCCTCTCCAGTAGCATCTTCAGTGGGCATCATCCCTTGGTTTCGGCTCCCAAGATCAGTTTGAGTTTTATTGTTTGAATGCTTGTGCTTGTGATCAAATGATGATTTGTTAGTTCCAACAACATCTGCTTCCAAACTCCAGCTCAACATCTAGTTCGAACTCATCCTCTAGCCCATATTTCACTAATTGATTTCTAGTCTACAGTTCCCTCTACATTAACAGCATCTCCATCTACAATAACTTGTAACTTACTATAACTAACTTTTAGACGGCTAGAAAATCAACACCCATCATGTATTTTGTTTGGTATTAATTTACGATCTAGGATAGCGATTATAATCAAATGGACTCCAATCACAAATGCTAAACAATCTCCATTACAAAAGTCTCACACCTATTTAGTTTTGCTTTCTGCCAATGAAGCCTTGTTTTGAAGAGAATCATGTCTACGTTTGATTCATGAAATCTTGAGATTTCACATTCTAATTTCATCATATTTATGTTTGGTTTTGGTTTTAATTTGTATTTGATTTGTCTAAAAATAGTTCGCTTGATAGTTAATTTGTTTGTTTAATTTAATTTATTGATTTCTAAATATTATATTTATATTTTATTAAAGAATAATGAATTTTTTCTTTCTCAATATGAAGTTACTTTTATTACTTTTAAAAATACTTAAAGGGTGTTTGTAAATATAGCCATTTTAATCACAAAAAATTTAATAATGTATGCGAATTAAATATGAACAATTTTTATTATGTTTATAATATGTTTATTTAATTAATGAAATATGTTAAACTTAATAAATAAATAAAAATCAAACATATTCACGAATTATTTATCAAATGCTCTATTTGTTTTACATCTTTGAGTATAAACAAATTAAACATGAAAAAAATTTGATATGTTTGTAATCTATTTGTTTAATTAATAATATTAAAATATTATTCATAATTATTTATTAAACTTAATGAATGAATAAAATATGAGCCTGTGAAAGAATTATTTGTTAAACATTCTATTTATTTACACTTTTTAAAAAATTGAAATTAGTAATGCTTTTTTTTTTTAACTTCCTATTTAATTATTGGGAAAAGATCCTCTCAACCGTTTAAAATTAGCGGGTATCCACACTGAGTTTACAAACGCTAATCTGATATTAATCCACGTCACTTATGTATTTATCTTACCAAAACGCTCGATTTCGTTAGCCTTAACACCATTTGCCCAACTTCTTCGTCATTGCTCCCGATTTTCTGCTTTTCTTCCTCTAGCCCTATTACTTGTTGAAATTTTTACAATTTGAAATCCAACTGGTGAAGTAAGTTTGGCATCATCAAGGAATCCAAATGAATAAAGCACTTTAAGTGTTCGGATCATTGATTCAGGATAACTGTAAAAATTAAATCGAAGTTTGTCAAAATATGATATAGTACCAAACATCATGTCCAAAGATTTGAAAAAAATCAGCAAATTGGATTTAAGTAATAAGCAAATTGAAAAAAAAAAAAAATAGAAGCTTCATTGACATAATAAAGCTAACACCTCAAAGACACAGCTTTTAATATCCGAATCTTGCATGATGAAGAAACACTTGGCAGAATCTTTGGAAACTCAGTCAAGTAACTATCGCACTAGCCTCAAAACAATTCAAAACTAAAGAAAAAAAAAAGCCCCACTAACACGTGAATCACCATTTAGACCAAGTCTTGAAAGACAAAGGATCTTAATGTTTGTATTCATATATACTCCAAGAAGTCTATTGAAAAATTAGTGATTAAATTTTACAAAATTTTGATTGGCTAACATCTCAATTTCTTTATGCTCCATTTGGACAAATGATGAAATTGACAGCGATGAGATTACAAATAATAATAAAAATTATTATAATTGAAATTAAAAAAAAATTATTATAATTACGATTGAAAATTTTTTTTTATTAAACGCATGTCACTAAAATTAATATTTATATTTAATTAATAATTTAATTAATTCAATTATATTACATAAAAAATACAATGAAATTCAAATGAACACTTAAACGAATGACACGATTATTTACTTGAAATTCTTGTTGATGATGTCAAACTTCACCAATTGAGTTTCAAGTTGCAGAAATTTCAACGGAAAATGTAGGAAGAGAGGAACGTAAGTAGTAATTTGGGTGAAATTGTGGAGAAGTTGGGTAAATGATGTTAAGCTTAATGAATCGGGGTGTTTTAGTTTGATAAAATAAAACAGATGACATGAATTAATATTAGTTATAAATTAATGTAGGTAAAATAAGTGAAGATATCCATCAATTCTAAACAACGAAGAGGATCTCCAACCTAATTATTAGTGCATTTGAAAAACTTGATAGAACTGAGCTATCACCTGAAAGCCCACAACCAATATTCACAGATGATCTGCTGCAAAAGCACAGGTGGATCAGCTTTATAGAAAAAAAATTTAATTACTGATTTATAAACGACAGATGAAAAATAATTGCCATTCGAAAAGAATTTTTAAATTTTTTGAAATTTGAAATTCGAAAATACTCGTCATTTCTCACTGAGTTTTCACAATACAATACTCCAAATTCATCGTTTTGTGGTGGCCATAGGCCATAGGCCATAGCTCCACATCCACCGTTACTCCCACTAATCCTCCTTTTTATTCCCCATAATTACGCCTCCAACCTGAATTCTTCTTACCGTTGCTCTTATCGGAATTTCCTTAAAATTCAATGGCAAATCATGACGTGCCCAGTGCCCTCCCTGGTTTTAAGCCCACCACAGCCAAAACTCTGAAACCCTCCCCCGATCCAGCCGCAATTTGGCGGAATTTCTGCTACATATAATTATCGAAAACAAAAACAAAAATCCCATAAATTGAAATTGAGAACCCTATACTCCAATCTTCGGTGTCTGCCCAAAAAGATTTCCTTTTTTTTTTCAAAATTAAAGTTAGGGTTTTGAGGGAAGAAAGAAAATGAAAGCTTCATTGAAATTTCGCGAAGAGAAAAGGCCAGTGTTGAGAGCGAAAATACCTCTAAGCATTGTAGGCTTGCCGTTTCAATCAGGAATCGTCGCCGGCGAATCCAAGGAACTCACTTTAAATCTTTCTACATTCTTCGAATCTGGACCGTCCATCAAGATCGCCTACCGTCCTAATAACACGTGGAATCCGTTCTCTCTTATCGTCAAGACTGGAACCGGACCGTTCGGTTCTCCCATCTCCAGCTCTATGCTTATGAGCGCTGAGTTTAACCTCCTTGGCCGTGGAAACCCTAGCTTTATGCTTCACTTCAAGCCTCAGTTTGGGGATTTCTCGATCAAGAAGTCGCAGTCTTCGGTTTTTGATAAAGTCGTGAAGCCGAAGACTGGCGCCGTGTTGGATGTCGATTCATCGATTGATGTGGTGGATTCGCCGGCTTTTAACGGTGGCTCCGCGGAGTTCTTTGCTGAGAAGAGGAAACTAGCGGCTTTAAATTCGGGAGATATCGCGGGGATTCTGTCCGGAGTGGAGGTAGCGGCGAGGACGGCAGTGCCGGTGAAGGGAAAGGCGTTGGTGAAATTCCGGTGGGGAATGAAGATTCCGTCGGAGATGAAGAGTGGCGTCGACGGAATGGGAGATCCTACTGCTGGGATTTCGTTTAGGAAGATTCCGTTTTTGATGATGGATAAGATCGGGATCGAACACGTGGACACTTCTGACTCAAAGGGGGCTACAGCCACAGCCAGCAAGGCGGTTCCAAAGGTGGGTACGAATGCTGACATGGCGGAAGCATTTTGTACAGTCAAGCGTCAGTTAGAAGCTTTGCAAGCTGAGAATGGGTTGTTGAAGCGAGCCGTGGAGGATCTCAGGCTAGAAATCTCCGGCGCGAAATTCGGAGATATGCATTCTGGGAAATACAGAGAAACTGAAAGAAATGGGATTAGTAAATCGAATATAGAGAGAAGAAACAATAAGAAGAATCCGATAGAAGGGGATGTGAATGAGGAGTTGAAGAAGGCATTGAAAGAAGCTACTGGTGCTTGAGTCTGTCGAAATTGAATGAAAGCTCTGGTTTGTATCTTTATTGAGCCATTTATGTTTGGATTAGTAATTGTACTAAGTAATCAATCTTGTGAGTTTTGTTTAGATTGTCTGAAATTTGCTAGCATTATTAAACTAGGGGGGTGTGATTAGGCAATAATTCGATTGTAAATTTCTTAATTGATAGGTTTATTTGGTTTCTCCTGCGTTCAAAATGCATTTTTACTCTTCCATCATTAAACACCAATTGCCCTAAGGGTCCTTTTTCCAGACGATGGGGAGGACAGGGATGCCTTCCGTGTCAGTTGGACGCATTAAGAAGTTTACTGTTACGTTTTCTTTATCTTCATCTGGAACAATAAGCAATGCAGGTTTCCCTCGCACTGTGCATGACATTAGTTTCATGTTTTTCAAAGAGATGAAATTTGGCCTTTTAGCCGCAATCTCATCCAACATCTCGTTTGCCTTTTTGATCTTCTTATAGCCCTTCCTAAACGAAATGCTAGTGGGTTTGAGCTAAAATAGAATGGCATACTATCCTTTCGGAGCTTCCGCGTTCCAGGACTTGCCACCTAAATGCTTCAATCTTCCACTTTATAACAAGCATCTTTTGAACTTTTGTAGCCAAGGGCTCAGCCCAAGTTACGTGCCTGTTGTTGTTCACCATCCAAGAGCACAGCTTTGATCGCAGTTAACGTCTCCTTAAGCGTTACCAACTCCTTTTGGACACCTTTCGCCCCAAAGCAGTACTCCCTAGTTTCTCCAACACGTTTTCTGCGATGCTGAACCCCAAGGATTCAGCCATATTTTTTAGGTGAAGGAACAAAAGCTGACTTCTTCTTTATCTGGTGAATTTTAATGCTAATAATTTTTCGATTCTGAGGTGCCAAGTGCCAACAATCGGCCGTTCTTGAAGCTTTAAATACTATAGCAGAACTTGCAACTTTGTGAAGTAAAGTACACCTTAATTTTTCCCCCCTTAATTGCTTCATATTCTATCATATGGATGCAAACTAAAGCTTTGAAGTGTAAGTTTGGCAATCAGCGGCCAAAAATTTTAACTACTTAGTTAAGATATATTAAATTATAAAATAATAACAATAATCATAATAGTAATAAAAAATTAAAACGTTTATATCTCGTCATAGTTGTTAAAATTTTACAAGTTGCTCAATAACTTTGTTGTAAATACTTTTGAACATATATTTTTTATCGTACACAATTAAACTATTATTCAAGTATTGATCTCTCATATGATTATGCCAATAAATTTTCAAAATATTCATTGTTGAAAATGTTCTTTTTATTGTGACAATGATAACGGATAAAATCAATGTTAGTCTAACAAAAAATATGTTAGAATTAAGGTTTTGGAAAACAACTTGCTAATCCCTTGATTAACCTTTCATTATATAGACAATACTAAGGAAAGAAAATTAATTACAAATTACATATTAATTATCCTAATTAATTCTTCCTAAACTCTCTCATGAAATATTTTCATAATATTTCAATTTACACACATGCATACACTAATACTCTCTTTCAAGTTGGAAAATATATATCAGTTATGCTCAGCTTGTTACATATATAGTCAACTCGAACTCTTGAAAGTGATTTTGTAAGAATATTGGTTAGTTGTTCCCCTGTGTGCATATGCTTCAATATTATTGTTCCATTTTGTAACTTTTTTTTTATGAAATGACAATCAACTTTTATATGCTTGGTTCTTTCATGAAATATTGGATTGATAGCAATATGAATTACCGTCTGATTATCACACCATAACTCTGTAAGAGTCCAAACTAAAAGCTCAATTTCATCTAAGAATTGAACCATCTATAATACCTTTATTGTAGCTAAAGCCATGGCTCTATTCTTTGTTTTTGCGCTAGACCTAGCAACTATTTGCTGCTTTTTACTCTTCTAGGATACTAGATTACTCTCAAGAAAGATAGCATAACTAGATGTAGACTTTTTATCCATAGGAGAGCTTACCCAATATGCATTTGCATAGGCTTAAGTACCCCTATCACTAGTAGAGTTGGATAGTAACACCTTTTCAGGATTTCTCAACAAATATTGGAGGATGCGCATTGCTGCTCTTTAACGAGTATTTCTGAGAGCTACCATGAATTGACTAACCATACTTACTGAAAAAGATATATCAGGTTTTGTCATGGTTAAGTAATTCAGTTTTTCCATTAGTCTCCTGTAAAGTGTGGGATCATCAAGTAAAGTGTCATCTTTTGAAAAAAAGCTTGATACTTAGATTCATTGGTATGTCACTTGGCTTGGAATGGAACAAGCTTGCATCTCTCAAAATATCTAAAACATACATCCTTTGAGATACAAAGATTCTTTTTTTACACCTTACAACTTCAATTCCTAAAAAATATTTTTTAAAAAAATTGACCAAGATCTTTGGTCTTAAATTAGGACTTAAGATATATCTTAAGTCTGTTAATCATTGCTCTATCATTGCCAATGATGATAATATCATCTACATACACTCCAAACAATATAAGGCTAGTAGTCTTAGATATATAAAATATTGAATGATCTTTCTCACTTTGTCGCTTGCCATATTGAATAAAAGCTACACTAAATTTGTTGAACCATGTGTGTGGAGATTAGTTTAGGCTATATAGGGATTTATGTAAACAGCACACCTTTCCAAACTCCCTCTAGGCAATAAACCTTGGTGGTTGCTCCTTCTCAGCTAGGTCACCATGTAAGAAAGCATTTTTCATATCCAACTGATGTAATGCCCATCTATGTGTAGCAACAAAACTAAAAAATAGGCAAATAAATGTTATTTTGTCACTAGTGGAAAGGTATAAAATAATCTTCTCAATATATCAGTGCATATCCTTTCATTACTAGTCTTTTCCAACAAATGATGATTTTTTCTTTCAATAACCCCATTTTGCTGTAGGGTATTTGAACACAAGAATTGATGAACAATACCTTTTGCATTAAAGAGTTGAACCAACTTTGTAGAAAATACTTTCTTTCATTATCACTTTGTAAAATTTTGATAGATTTACTGAATTGATTCTCTATTTTTGCATGAAAGGTAATAATTCAGAACAGCTCTGCAACAAATACAACCAACAAACTTGTGAATAATCATCAATAACTATTACAAAGTATCTACAACCAGATTTTGAAATAATAGGGCAAGGCACTATACGTTAGAATGAATTATAACAAATTAAACTTTTCTCTTTTATTAAATCAAGGTCGATAGGACACTTTATGTAGTTTGACAAACTTGTATGATTTACAATCAAAACTAAAAGATGATAAATGGGGACACATAGCTCGTAAAGTTGACATGATGGATGGCCAAAATGACAATGAGACTCATATGCTGATGATAATTCTCTTAAGTATACCATTAATCCAAATTATATTTTTTGTATGTCTTCAAGCATATAAAGACTTCCTTCGATCCTTCCCCTACCAATAATGTGCTCTATTAATAGATCTCGAAAAACATAATAAGTAGGAAAAAAAAAGACATTACAATTCAAATTTCTTGTAATCTAACCGACAGAAAGTAAGTTAAAAAAGAAAAAAAAGACATATAACACAGAATGTAAAGATAATGTAGATATAGGTTGAGCTTTGCCACTTCTCACAATATCTATAGATTTTTCATTAGCAGCAAAAACAAACCATTTCTTTGTCATAAAAGTATATGAATAAGGAGTACCTGTAGTACCTATCATGTGATTTAAAGCTCCTAAATTAATCACTTAATTATTCAAAAAAGTAGCTAGGCATGCGGTAAATTTACCTTGTATAAAAGTTATTGTCGAAGAAAAGATCGAAGTCTAATTCTAAAGCATTTGAATGCACCTGTCATAATTATCTTGAGATAACTAAACTCTCTTATCCTATTGCTATTGGGGCTAAAACGCAACATTAATCACATATGCCATTGATGGGCAAGAATCGTCTAAAAATATGAAAAAACATTTCATAAATGTCTTTACTATCCATAATGATAGTATAATCGTGGGTCTCCACCATGTCCTTCATGCAGTGCCTGCCCTTTAAGCTATGGTGCCATAAATACTACCATTTTTTTAAGGATCATGCTAGTGACCCTACTCAGGTACTTCCAAGCATTCAGTAAAGAAAGTGAATCTTTGCTTGCTAACATTTGAGCACTAGCATTGCCATACTCTTTTTTCAATCTTGTTAAGAAAAACACTACATCTAGATCCTTTCATTGTTTCTAGTTTGTCTTTAGGTTAGTAAACAAGTGCATGAGTTTATTAAACTCGTCATAAACCTTCTTAAATGCAACAAAATATTCTCTTGGGCTTCTATTGGACTACTTTATTTTAGTCCATTTCCTGATAATAGCTAAAATCCTCTACTAATTATCAAAATTGCATAAACAAATTTTAAAGCATTTTAAAGTTCCTTACTTGTGAGGTATTAATTGAACATCATTTTAACTTATCATTCCATCAAATTTAATAATTGTTTAAGTATTCGATTGTCCTCCTATTCCTATACTGCATACTTCAAGCTTTCCTTTACTGGAGGCTTACTTGTAAATAATCAAGCCTTTCCAAAACCTTACAAGGTCACTAATATAGTCTTGCTCCATGACAAGTAGTTGGAGCCATCAAATTTTTCATCCAACAATCGTGAGCTCGTGATAATCTTCTAAGTTATCACATTTGATGTGGTTGCTTCTTCTTTGACTATGGATATAAAACATTTTTCTCTAGAACATAATTGGTAATCTTTCAATCGGGGAACACAACTTTTAATCAACAACCAGGAACTCCATCTCTAGTTTTGCAGTCACATTCTACACTAAAAAGACTTGTCTCATTTAATCTATCTTTTACGAAGAGATTGTAACTTTTTCTTTTTGTGACCTTTGAGAATAAGAAGATGATCCTTTTCAACTGATGAAAGACTATTAAAGGGGAAGGAAAGACTTTAAATACGTAGCTTTAGGGCTATGAGATCAAAATCTGTAGTAGCAATGTTGGTTGATGGTGTAAGGGCTATTGTAGAGGGGTTTGGGAAAGAGAGGTGGCAATGATTAAGGTTGGGCTGCTGGCTCTGATACCATGTAAGAATTAAGGTTTTAGAGAACAACTTGCTAATATCTTGGATTAACCTTTCATTATGTAGACAATACTAAAGAAAGAGAATTAATTACAAATTACACATTAATCCTCATAATTAATCCTTCTTAAAATATCTCTCATGGAATATTCTCATAATATTCTAACTTACACATATGCATACACTAACAAAATAAATTAGATCAATACAAAATTTTTAAGCTTTATCTAAGATTAGAACAAATGATTTCATATTTTTTTTAAACCTCATTAGGGGCTCAAGGCCTTGCTGCATACTATAAGGCTCCATCCTTATGGGTA